TTGAACTTAACAAGTACCCGATATGTGGACAGCAGTTGGAGCTTGTACACATCGGCAACATGCACATGCAGCATATCCAACAAGACAATCTCAAGGGCTAGGTAAGACACACATCCAGAAAATTTCAGACCCACGGTCTCAGAGCGGCGAATAGGGTGTGAGGGGGGGGGGGGGTCTCCATGGCGCCGACGCAACAACACCCTCCCACACGGAACAGCTAGCAACAACTGGGGAGTGCTTGGCGACCACGTCTAGAGACCCTGGCAGTCAGGCCAGCAATCCTACATTTGCAAAATTAGTTGATATACTTATATGAATAGTGGTATCAACACCTAATTACACCTCAGTATTCAGTATGCAATAATATGTATATTAAGAAAGAGAGTGAGAGAGACACTAAAAATATGGCAAATGTCTGATCATAGTATGCTTGTAGTTTGTTGCCATTTGAAGAGTATTGTATTCTCAACATGCACTGCAGTATGATAAATGTTAAACAAAAAAGTTATTAGCGTCGTAAAATGTTGACAACACTAATGGGCAAAGTATGTTGTTGACCAGACCACACACTAGAAGGTGAAGGGACGACGACGTTTCAGTCACAATCGACTTGAGAATGGTCCAAGACGGACCGAAACGTCGTCGTCCCTTCACCTTCTAGTGTGTGGTCTGGTCAACATACTTTAACCACGTTATTGTGACTCTTCGCCTCCACTAATGGGCAAACAATATATATCCCGTCATCGTCAAATAATATATATCCCAACAATGCTTCGGCATTTATATTCACAATATATATTCACCCAAATTCTTTGGCATTTGGATAATAGTTATACCTGATTTACCTTAGGGACATTAACACTCTAGTGGTCTCGACGAGGACATGAAGCTGATGGTTGGCCAATGTTCTGCCATTTGTCCTGATAATTTGAACAAGTTTGATCTTACAATTCGGCAGTGTTTTGGCATTTTTGGGTAGAGTGTTTGATACTCTTGCGGGGCTAAAGTTTTTAAGTAATTCATTAATTAGGTAATATAAGCAAAGGTTAAATTTTCCTAATATAAGTAAAAGTATAATCTATGTAAATAAAAATGTAAATGTTCGTTGGTTCAAAATCGTTAATCTCCGAAAGTTCTTCACCTATTGCTTTCAAATTTTCACAGAACGTTCCATTCGAATACACACATGTTTTATATACCTACTATATAGATGCCACACCTGTGACAGGTAAAAACATGCATTTTTTTATATACCACCATCTGTTGCACGTAATAGCAATACACGCTATACTAAATATGTTACAATTCAATTTCAATGTTTCCGATTGCATTGATAAATTTAATTTTCATAGATTTCGATTTATTTTCATTTTGATTAATCTATTTTGTGTGATATTGCGTTCTGATTGAGCTGTGTTGTTTACCATAATGTTCATTTTGTGAGTATAAGTATAGATGCCACACTTGTGAAAGGTAAAAACATTTTTTTTTTAACAGCGCCATCTTTTGCATGTAAGAGCAACACACGCTATACTAAATATGTTACAATTCCATTTCAGTATTTCCGATTTCATTGATAAATTTAATTTTCATAGATTTTGATTTATTTTCATTTTGATTAATCTATTTTTTGTGACATTGCATTGGAATTTAGGTGTGTAGTATACCATTCTGTTTATTTCATGAATATAGTTTATTTTTTTATTTTTTCACTGTTGTTCATTTCGTTTTAAAAAAATTTTCTTATATTTCAGTAATGGGAACATCTGTTGGAAATAACCAACAGTTTTATACATCTTTGTATTTTATACAACCTTTGTATTAACCACAAGTAGTTACTAAAATTACTAACTTGTAGATTTAATCATTATCATGATTTATTTAAACATATTGCCAGATTCTTCCTATTCAGAGTGACGACGTGAGGAACGACAGGCAGTAACATGAATTCTCTACACATTTAGTTGGATTTATAACAAGAGTCCAGTTTATCATTTCCTTTACTAAAAATAGTTACTTACTAATAAGTTTAATTTCGTAGTATACTACTACTTACTGGAACTCCTTTATTTAGTTGATATTAAGCATTCTAGAGGAAATTACTTTAATGTAAATGGTTTTACCTTAATTTCCTAGATTAACTGCACAACTTTAATAAGCCAATTTATGCTACGCGAAATTCTATTTTATCACAGAAGAATTTAATGTGATATTAATACTCGTCACTACCTCTTCTTTCCTTAGTCAATTGCGATATATACATATCCATTTACGCTAGAGATGTCTATCGAGAGCCGCGCATGCGCAATAAGGAGGAGGAGGAAGACGGGAGAGCGTCACCAGACACAGAACGAGAGAGCACGACTCGGACGCCATTGACAACGTGTAGCAGAGCTACGTTTTGATCCTACTTATTTCGCTCCCACGACCAGTAGAGCGGTGCCACGTTATCTGGCATGATATAGTCGTGTCCCAGACTAGCATATCTGCAATTCCAAAGTCTAGGCCTTTCCAGCAGCAGCTGAGGACGAATAATTGCTCAAGTCTCCACATCAACGGACACGCGGCTCGGCAGCTAGGTTCACCTGTTTGTTATCATGTGGCCACAGTTAACATTTAGGCTAGTTGTCGTTAGGCCGTATATAAAATAATAAAATCCCGTACGTGTCTTTAGTAAATTTACCATCTAAATAGATGATTATTTTCATTGTTTTCTACAGAAGGAATTTACAGTGCTTGAATATAAATTGCACAGATATTGGGCTGAAGATTTCTACAGTTATCTTTATAATTTAGGATGCATTTGTAGTTACCTATTGCCTATTGCTACTAGTTGCCTTTCAGTAACAAGGCGACGCAACCGAGGTGCTAGGCTTCCCAACCTTCATGTGCAACAATTTGCCCTATGCAACACGTCGTCGGTGGAGCGTGGCAACTGATTACACCTCTCTAGATTTACAGCTAAGCTGTCCCTTTTTTATCTGTAGCAATAACTCTGTAGTTACAGTAGTGATCTCCCAAAGAGATCTATTATATTAACCCATTGATCTATATACTGTACTATTCTATCCAGCAGTATATTGAGGTGCATTTACCTCCAATTAATCTATTACAATCAACCCTATTTACTTTCATATTTTATTTACTCTGGTGAAGAACCAGCACCAGAATAATGCTAGGGATGTATTAATTTTTTAGCATGTAACCCCCCAATTTTGTGTAAGTTAATTCATATAAGAAATACAGTTTCACTAAGATCCATAGGACACTAGTTCTTGGGATCAGTTTTTCCATTGTCTTATTTTGTTTTCCACTTTTTCTCAAAAAGTGGTGGTCCTTCATAGCTATCGAAGTATATATTCAATTATTAGTTATTGGAGTCAGGTTTTCCCCCACAAAATTTTGGTCCTTCGAACCTAGATAGCTGAGAATTAAGCTATCTTACACACCATATAATTGCCTATTTACTAACACCAACTAGTGTGTTAACATTATTAGGCTATTTACCAATATATTTCATTATTTACAGCTGTCAGCAGACTGCCCATATTACAGCCTAAAACTTATTAATTATTATCAACATTTCTATTAATACTTATGTATAAAGTAGCCTTAGTGGGACATAGCCAATTGCCCACAACCCTTAGACCTATACCTCACACTGAGGGGAGAATTTTTAGGTCACCTGGAGCGACTGCTCACAATTTTTACAACAATCCAATATTAACAGCTGCATTAGAATGGCCTCACCATTTAACCATAATTTATCTAGGTGGCAATGATATCTATCCCACTCGCCAACCAGCCGAAATAATTAACCATTTAATAACTATTATCAGTTCCTTTAAACAAGTCAGCAACTCTGTGGTATTCACATTGGTGGAACCTCGCCAACTGAGAAGTGATAACCGTTGGGGAGTGAGTCCCGAATATTATCAGCGTTCGGCGAAATAAATAAACTTTCGGCTGAGAAAAAGAGTGAGGTTGGAAGCCACTTATATTCATTTCACAGCCAGACCATATCAACAGGGCTTGACCTCAGACGGTGTACATCTGTCAGGAGAGGCTAGGACCCATATGGTCAACAAATTAGTCAATACTATTAATCATCACAAACGGTTGTGGCAAGCAAGTCAAACTTAGTGTTATATGTTTATAATTTTACTTGTATTTCTAAGCACAAACATATATATCAAAACAAAAAATCCCCAAAACATAGCACGATATATCTATATTACTGCACCATTACATATATGCCAACCTTTGTTGAGATAGGATATTTAGACTGTAATTGTACTAATGTTTGTACAAATGCAGCCTACACCATTTAGTCATTCCTAGGTAGGAATTATTTAGCGAGTACTGTACTAAACAGTACTGGTGTACATACATATTATTTCGATTGTGCTGACCCTGATTTGGGGTGGGATCGCCAAAACCCTTTTTGTGCTTTTAACATATTATTTCGTGTATTATTTTTTTGAGTACTGCTGAATGTTCACTGTTGGATCGAATGGTGATAATTGAAGAGCTAACCGGACGAAAATCCAATAGTGGCATTCGAGTACTACTCAAAATATTAGCTATCCATTGTTGGGTAGGTAAATTAACCTCTAAACGAGGTAGTATAGTCTTTTTAAATACATTAGGCTATTATATTGATATTGAACTCCATTGAATGAGCCATTATCCCAGTTACATCAGTAACAAATATTTCCTATCAGGCCAGCCCTTACCCAGCAAGATGGAAGCGGCTGACAAAATGAAAAGGACCCTTATCGATCTGAAAGGTCATTTGACCCGACAGATTACCAAGTGTCAAAATCTGGTACAACAGTCACCTGTTGACTACATTGAATTAGAGGACTTACTTCAAGTCGCTGAAGGTAAATTCAAGCATATTAAGCAACATATGAATCTGTACTTGACAGAACTTTACCAAACCTCAATAGGTGAAACTGAACTTGAGGACATTGTAAATGATTTAGCCCTGTATGAAGATGACGTACAGGTTAAACTTCAACCCTTTAAAAAGCACATTGCTAAAAAAAATTAACAACAGCCTCTACTGAACATCCAGATCCTGATGTCAAATTACCTCAGATCAATATACCCACATTCTCTGGTAACGAGAATGAGAGTTTGGATGATTTCTGGAATAAATTCGTGGATGCAGTAGAATCTAAAACTAACATCCCTAGAACAACCAAGTTCACTTATTTACAAGGCTTGTTATGAAATGAAGCCTTGAAGGTAATCTCTAACATAACACTGACCAGTGATGGTTACGACCTTAAGAGCAACTACGATAACAAGGAAAGAACTATTACTATCTTAGTCCAAAAATTGCTGGATTTACCATCTGCTAATAATTCTACAGATTCTTTCCAAACTTTCAGACTAGAGGTAGAATTTTTAATCAAGGCCGTAAGCCTTAATGTCCAAATTCAGACTGCTGAATGGATGACAAAAGTAGTTGTAAGGCGCAAATTACCAAGAGAAACTTTAGATAAATTGTGTACTATGTACAATAAAACCTCTCTGACCATGAATGAAATTACAGTAGGTTTACATACCTTAGTCGAAAGATAAAGAGCCAACCAAGATGGGAAGAGTGTTTCAAACTTCTCTACTAACTCTCATCATAACCCCAATGTACTGCAACTACTGTAGTAAAACCAGATTTCAATAAATCATCTCCGAAATGGAAATCTGGAAATGTAGGTACATACACAGTGAACCCTATAAACCCTGTAGTGAGCACCACTCCTGTGACTTCACCTAGAGTGAAAAAGTGTTTGTTCTGCAATAATGAACATCTTACTTATAAGTGTAGTACAGGGTACTTATCCAGACCATAACAACCGAATTCATCGTTTGCAAGAGATGCACAAGGTGCACGGGTCCTCATGACCCCAATAGCTGTACTGTCTCCTTATGGATGTTCAACAAGTGCCACAAGGGTAGACACCATTACTCCTTGTGTGGTAGTTATCAGTCAACATCAACCAATCCTCATAATAAAATTGCAAAATTTACTTCTGTACAGTATAGCAAGGGGCATCAAGACATAAGTGTACTTACAACAGAGTCGAATAACGCAACTACGTTACCAACAGCTCAATTAAAATTAATTACCAAGGGATCTAGAATTTCCACTCGTGGTCTCTTTGACCAAGGTTCGCAGAAAAACTTTATTTTGCAACAGCTCGTTGATCAGTTGAAAGTGAAGCCTATTGCTCGAGTGAATTTGAATATCTCTGGATTCCTAACCAACTGTTGACCTCGTGACTACCAGGTTGTTAAAGTCTTGGTACGTTTAGGAGGCTGCACCAGCCCAATTCAAGCCATAATCGTCGACAAGATCCCCTCAGATTTACAAGTTACAGGTCTTGCTCAAACAGTCAAATTTCTTAAACGCAGCGGTATTAGTGTTGCGGATCATAAAATAAATACAGACTGTCTCAACGATGTTGGTATTCTTATTGGAGCTGACTTTTATTATAGATTTATTACTGGATGCACCAGGCAACGAGGTGTATACTTGTTACTGTCAGCTGGGGGTAAACTACTCACAGGACCGGTGTTGATCCAACAACATTCTAAATCTACCAGTAATCGACCAACTAATTCAATAGTGGCGTGACTAGGCCTAGATCAGTCACCATATATATGATAGAGACGAAACTGAGGATGATGAGTCCAATCCCCCTGTTCACAAATTATGGGATTTGGATACCTTAGGCATAGTCCCTGATCAACGCAGTCCAGATGACACATGGACGTATCAACAATATCTTGATACTGTGATTTTCCAAGATAATCAATATTGGGTGAGACTCCTGTGGAAGTTGAACCACCCACAGCTTCCAGTAAATTATTTCATGACCTCAACCCAATTAAATTCTCAATTAGCTAGGCTACGGAAGCAACCAGATAATTTGCAACTGTATCAGGCTTTAATACAGCAACAACTTGAAAGCAAATTTATAGAAGTTGTTGAAGAAGACAACCATAAGACAGGCCATTATTTGCCACATCATGCTGTCCTGAAAGATTCGGTTACAACACCAATCAGGATTGTATTTAATTGTAGTGCCAAATTAAAGGCAGACAGCGTGTCATTAAATGATTGTCTACAAACTGGACCTAGCCTAACCCAAAGACTACAAGATGTCTTATTACGATTTCGCTCTGGTGTTTTCGCCTATACGGCCGACATTAGTAAGGCCTTTTTAAGAGTAGGTTTACAAGAGACGGATCGTGATTTTACTAAATTTCTCTGGGTGAAAGATCCACAGGATCCTAATAGTGAAATCATTACTCATAGATTTGCCTCAGTACTGTTCGGAGCGACATCTTCACCATTCTTACTCCAGGCTACTCTGGATACACATCTTAAGAAGTCTAATAGCCCCTACAAGACTGAGAGTAGCAACAATTTATACGTTGACAATTTTCAAGGAACCACTTATGATGAGAATAAACTAGTGGAAATCTACCATGAGGCTAATCGTGAACTGTTGGGAGCTAACATACCCCTACAGTCGTGGGCCTCCAATAATAAGCAACTCAACCAAATAATCGAGGAAGAATTCCCTGATTATAAGGTACCTCACAAATTGAAAGTCTTAGGTATGGAGTGGAATACTTCCACAGACGAATTGAATATCAAGTCGGCGGATTTCAATCATTCACCTCTAACCATGAGAAAACTACTCTCCCATGTCAGCAAGCCATTTGACCCTTTAGGCCTACTCAGTCATATTCTAATTAAGGGTAAACTCCTTATGCAGGAGTGCTGGCAAAGGAATTTAAGGTGGGATGAAACGTTGCCGGAGGATCTCCAAAAAAAATGGCAGCAGTTGATTCCTGATTACAACAAACTTAGTATTCTACAGTTTCCCCGAAATACCTTACGAAATGCACGTAAGAGCAATAATGTTGCTCTTACGTGCAACATATGGTGCTGCTTAAAAAAATGTTTTCACCTGTCACAGGTATGTGACACATGTACTTATACTCATGAAAAGAACGGTATGGTAAACAATACAGCTCAATTCCAATGCAATGTCACACAAAATACTTAAATCAATATGAAAATAAATCGAAGTCTAGAAAGATTCAATTTGTCAGTGCAATCAGAAACATTGAAATGAAATTGTAACATAATTAGTATAGTGTGTGTTGCTCTTATGGGCAACAGGTGGACCTGTTTTTTTTTTTAAATAATGTTTTTACCTGTGACTGGTGTGGCATCTATACTTATACTTACAAAGTGAACGATATGGTAAACAACACAGCTCATTTCCAACGTAATGTTTCACAAAATAAATAAACCAAAATGAAAATATATCGAAATCAATGAAAATTAAATTTATCAATTCAATCGAAAACATTGAAATGGAATCGTAACATATTTAGGATAACGTGTGTTGCTATTACATGCAACAGGTGGCGCTGTTTATCAAGAAAAAATAATGCTTTTTCCTGTCACAGGTGTGGCTTCTATATTATTGGTATATATAAACATGCACGTTTTCGAATGGAATGTTGTGTCAAAATTTCAAAGCAATAGGTGAAGAACTTTTGGAGATTACAGCGTGTGTTGCTCTTATATCCAACAGATGGTACTGTTTTTTTTTTTTAATTTTTTTCCTGTCACAGGTGAGGCCTGTATATAGTAGGTATATAAAAACATGCACCTATTTGAATGCAACGTTGTGTCAAAATTTGAAAGCAATCGGTAGAGATTTTGAAGATTTCCCTCACTTGAAAAACACAGTTTTTCAGAAAAGACGTGATATCAATATAGTAAGTATATAAAAACCTGCATGGGTGCGAATGGAACGTTGAGTGAAAATTTAAAAATAATCGGCGAAGAACTTTCGGAGATGAGCGATTTTGAACAAACAAACATTTCTATTTTTATTTATATAGATTTGTAAAAACGATCATAAAACGTGAGACAAAATGTATTTTAAAGCATTTTTTCAATGTTATTATATAATGTCTTCAAAATGTAATGGTAATTATTTAATTCTTTGAATATTAATTAGGTAATAATCTTTAGAAAAATGAGAGAGAGAGAAAGAGAGAGAGAGAGAGGGGGAGAGAAAGAGAGAGAGAGAGGGGGGAGAGAAAGAGAGAGAGAGAGAGAGGGGGAGAGAGAGAGAGAGAGAGAGAGAGAGAGAGAGAGAGAGAGAGAGAGAGAGAGAGAGAGAGAGAGAGAGAGAGAGAGAGAGAGAGAGAGAGAGAGAGAGAGAGAGAGAAGGGAGAGGTAGAGAGGGGGAGAGATAAAAAGACAGAGATAGAGACTGCAAGACAGAAAGAGGCAGAGATAGAGACTGCAAGACAGAAAGAGACAGAGAGAGAGAGAAACAATGATAGACAAACACACAACAGAGAGAGAGGCAGATAGATGCAGAGAGATGAAATGGCAAAGGCAAACAGAGCCAGAATTAGACAGACATTGATAAAGCCAGAGCAAAAGAGACAAATAGACATTTAAAGTTCTTTCTAAGTTGCGGGATTAACTTTGTGATCCTTCACTGGACGCGTTCTAATGGGCCGGGAAACGAAAAATATTTGAATAATATGAAAATTACTTAAAAATTTTATACAAATCTAAAATTATTTAGCATCAGCATCGTAAAAATTTCATCCCAATATGTTATAAATGTATTTTAAAAGAATTAAAAAAAAACATGCTGATGATAAGGAGATTAGCTCCCATTAACTGGAACTGACGGATAATGCATTAATAAAGAGATGCAAGCACCTGTTTGACGTAGAAAGATGAAGAATAGTAGTATAGGTGTCCACAACGTGGATATGCAGTTGGTGTCTTTATAGCATTGCTGCGTAGTACATAATAACACAAATAATAATTCCGCCCCACCCAAAAAAAAAATTTTTTGGGGGGGGAAGGGGCGGGGATTTTTTTTATTGTTTTCCTCCTTTGTTTATATTCTGATTTTCTGACCGGTCACTAAATATGTTAAGTTGAAATTTGCCAACAAATAAATCAGCAACAGATAGCAGAACTTGTGTTGTATAATTTTTTTGGCCGATGTGTTCACAGATTTCAAACTTTATTTTTCTTTGACTCTTGGTTGTTTTAATGATTGGGGATCAGATGAGGGTTTTATCACTGAAATAAATTATACATATATATCCCCTAAATCATTATAATTATCCATATATATATATATATATATATATATATATATATATATATATATATATATATATATATATATATATATATATATATATATATATATATATATATATATATATATATATATATATATATATATATATATATATATATATATATATATATATATATATATATATATATATATATATATATATATATATATATATATATATATATATATATATATATATATATATATATATATATATATATATATATATATATATATATATATATATATATATATATATATATATATATTGGTGGGGGGGATTTTTTCTTGACTTGATTTCAGCACATATTGACCTACACTTTTCACATATTCGATTACGAATGCCAAGCAAAGTTTATTAAAACATACAAAAAATGCATAAATTAAAATGATATATTTATTTTTGAAAACTTCACTTTCAGATTTATTGGAAACTCGATGTTCAACTATGAAAAATCACAATAAATTCAGTTTCTGATCGATTATCACAATTTTGATATATTATGTTTCACATTCTTTGCTCTACAATATTTATGTTTTGTTTTTTCCATAAACAGAAAAACTTTGGATTTATAAAATTTTTTGTCTTATTTTGACGCATGTTTGAAAGGCCACATTAAAAAATGTTTGTTCTCCAATCTATACTCTCAAACGAAATTCTAATTCATAAAACCTGAAAATCATTTGAAAATCTCTGACAATAATAACAAATAATACAACTGGTGAAATGTGTCAATTTTATAAGATTATTTGGAAATTTAAAAAAAAAAATGGTTGTATATTCTTTTCTAAATTTGTGTGCATGATACGATGTTGATCCCTTAGGAAAAGTTAGAACATTTATCATGTAGAGTAATAAAAAAAATGGAGAGAGTTTGAGGAGGTTTTAGCTAATTGTTTTCCGGCTCCTTATATCCATTCTATAGCATGGTGACCAAACCGAACTGCATTTAAATGATACAGTTCACTTTTTGTCGCCATACTATATAATGAATATCAGTTCACTAGAACGCGTACAGCAAAGTTAATCCTTCAAATTAAAAACATTTCATATAAAAGAGAGATCGACAAAGCTTAATTTACATTATTTATAAAGCCGAAGAGTTAGGGGTGACATGGTAGAGGTGTACAAGTGAATGAATGGGCATAACAACGGGGGATATTAATAGGGAATTTTCAAATCGTCAAATTTTCAAATATTGCTGTTCAAACCTGAATCTAAATCATTTATATATATTATGGATAACAGAGGTCCCAGGACAGAACCTTGTTTTGGTAGAACAATAAAGGTGGAAGACAAGGTGGAACAATAAAGTCGTTGCTTTTGACTGCAAAGAACAGTGACTCTTGAAAGATAACATATAGAATCACTGAAAGGGAACATCCCTGACGTACCGACTGTTCAATTCAAATGGTTTACTCAAGACCCCATTAATACAAACCCTACCCCGAAACTGTTTATAAGGCATACATATTCAATCAAAAAATTCTGGCACGACTCCTACCCTATCCAATATTTCTAATACAAACTGATCATCAATACGGTCAAACGTTTTCGACCAGTCGAGGTTTATCATGGAGGAAGAAACATTCTCAGACACATAATACACAACATCCTTATTATTTGATTACAATTTGTAATTCATCTTCCTGGCATACCAAAGAACCGTTTCTTGGATGTAAATTTATCCATCACAAACTTAAGTCTCTTCATCAGCAATTTGGAAATTATTTTGTAATCCTGATTGTGCAAAGAAAGTGGCCTGTAGTTGAATAAATGGGGGAAACTCGTCGAGGTGGCAACAGTGAACGTTGGGGAAACACTACCTCCAGGGAGCAACTCAAGTGTTGTTGAAGAGGAATATTACTGGTTGGTCTTGTCGTTAGTTTCAATCCCAATTGGGTCACTGTGTACTTAGCTGCCTTCTGTCATCTGTCATCTGTGGGTAGCTGTGGGCACAGGGAACAGCTGACAAAATTCGAGGAACAGCCGAGTCGTGTCGTTATGCCGCACCACCTGTATGTGTACGTTAGAATGTGCAAATCACCTGTTTTTGGTAGAGACTTAATAATCCCATGAGATTGAGTCATGCTAAGCTTCCTATGCTGAATGCTATAATGCACCACTTGTACAAAGTCTTTACCAAGGACATCCCACGGATAGAAATAAAATTCCGCCAAGAAGCCATCACAAATAGGCGATTTAGCCTTCTTTGAATTCTTGACCACATTCTACACCTGCCAACAATGACATGTTATCACCCTGGTATAAAACCAGAGTACAGTTTGCAAGGAAATACTCCCACATACCTTGGTCTCCAGCCATTCATTTTCTTGTACAATTTTTCTAATTCACCTGGAATATAACATACAATCCCATCCGTATTTATCATGTTCGTCTCATGATAAATAGCACCGTACCCCTGTTATTCTTTACTTTACTCAACAAATGTGCAGATAGTTTTTCTCCGTTCATCTTATCAATAATCTGGAGGAATTTGGCTGATATTTTCTACCTCATTTTGTTAATTCTGTCTTTTAAAATGTTCATTTATTCATACTTATCTTATTCGTTATTTACCTTTGGCTAAAACTGTTTTAATGTGTCAAAATTAAGGTCAAAAGATCACATTTTTCAGCCGCCTTTTTTTTGGATACTTTCACGACAAATGTTTTTCATGCAACTTTACACATGTCCCACAACTCCAAACCACAAGGGAACTTATGTTTCTGCCTGATCGAGTACTCCCACAATACCCAAAAATTATCAATGATAACTCTACACTGCGGCAGACTACAATCGAGCTTCCATGACCCTGCCTACACTTTAATTTGATCGTTAGCCACAAGCTTCAATACAATCAAACATTGAACAGCTGACTGAAACAGCACTGCCAGAGCTAACTTTATCATGTAATGTGTGCATATATATTCTATCGAGACTAGAACCATAGTTCTGGCGAACATATGTGTACTCAAGGACTCCCCGTTAATGCAATTTGCATCCTGGAGACCAATATATTTCAGAAGCATCACTAAAGCAAGAGATATACACGTGTTCGACTGATTGCAACAATCCATCACAGAAGTGACACCGTTAAAGTCTCCGCCAAAATTAACATTAAGTGTATCATGTGTTAAAAAGTACACTAACTCTTTAGAGAACAATTCCTCCCAACTCCCTTCCTGCGGGTGCCGGAGGGAACGTACATATTAAGCAGAAGAATTATGGTGTCAAGAAAGGAAATCCTCGCATATAAAACATTAATATTATCATCCATCTCGTTATTAAGGACCTTAATGTTGGCCTGTTTAGCAAGCAATATCACCGTACCGATTTTCATCAAGTTCGTAGGATTAATTAGGATTTCAAAATAATCCTGCAGCACATTAAGTTTCTTAACATCTTGTACATTGTGTTTTTGCACGAAAAGTACATTAAATGAATGATATTGAAACAAAGAGATTAGTTGCAAATTTGTTTTACTACAAATGAGTCCATTAAGGTTTAGAGTAGCACAAGTAAAATATATAGAATTCTTGAATGTAAATTTTGACGAGAGAAAAATTACACTTTATCCATTATTATCTCACTCGACTTTAACAATTCTGTTTCCTGAGGTGAACATACTTCTATAGAACCATCATCTTCTGTGTGCCACTTTTCCACCACCTGAGTGCCAGCTGTCCCTTTTCGAAATTTAAGTTTAATATTTATTTCCTTCCACTGCTCGAGTCTGTTCCTGTTCTACAACATCCCACCATACATTATCCATCATCTTCAACAAGATCACCACTCACCGGTTGTATTGTGCCCTCGCAAAATTACGGCAACTCCTCGTTACCTGATTACAGTGAACCTCTACGTTAATCACATTCTAAAAAAAAATTCACATACTTTTAATTTAGTGTCACTGTCTTTCATACGTTTCAAACCAATACTCTAGGTAGAAGTCTTTTTACATTTCTGCACATGGCCGATGACACCACCATCTTTCACACGACCCTTATCTTTTCTACCAGACCTTACAGATGAGGGTCGAATTACCCTCTGTAATCACAGCTCATTTGCATTACCACTCATGTGGTCATCGTCTACACCCAGTTGACAACCACTCATGTGGTCATCGTCTACACCCAGTTGACCACCACTCATGTGGTCATCGTCTACACCCAGTTGACAACCACTCATGTGGCATCGTCTACACCCAGTTAACCACCACTCATGTGGTCATCGTCTACTCCCAGTTGACAACCACTCATGTGGTCATCGTCTACTCCCAGTTGACAACCACTCATGTGGTCATCGTCTACACCCAGTTGACAACCACTCATGTGGCATCGTCTACACCCAGTTAACCACCACTCATGTGGTCATCGTCTACTCCCAGTTGACAACCACTCATGTGGTCATCGTCTACACCCAGTTGACAACCACTCATGTGGTCATCGTCTACACCCAGTTGACAACCACTTATGTGGTCATCGTCTACACCCAGTTGATCACCACTCATGTGGTCATCGTCTACACCCAGTTGACAACCACTCATGTGGTCATCGTCTACACCCAGTTGACAACCACTCACTTATTACAGCGTCACCTCACCAGGCTCAACACCAGCATGGCAGCTACAGTGTCTGTGTCATGAGCGTCCACATGTACACTGTCCTGGTGCACCTCACCCTCACACAATTGATTGACTGATGAGGATTAAGCCACCCAAGAGGTGGCAAGGGTATTATTAGCTAATAAGAGTTTTTTCTTTATTATGTAAAACAACATTTATTTACAATAAAAGGAAAGCAGATGTACCAAGCAGATCGCAGTACAAAAACACCACCAGACACAGCTGGAGAAACAGAGCACCAAAACAAGATTTAACATATACACAGCGATACATAAAGGAAAGAAAAAATAGTAATACAACGGTAATACACCCTTACACATGCACGGAGCATAACCCCACGTATAAGTTACATACATCAACAGAACACAGAAAATTTACTAGGAAAACAGAGCACGAAAAGCACACAACAAAATGAACACAAAAATGCTAGGCAAAACAGCATACACTATGAACCTCAACGAATGGAGGTCGTTACCACCCACCAAAATTAATAATATAAAACACACTAACAATATACACAACCCCGAAAAAAATAAAAGAACACATCATACTAAACGTGGGGACACAGCCCCACTCAACGGGGGCGGGTCTGTTTTATCTGCTGTCAACCCGAGTTCAGGCTGGTTACCTGGTTGATACCTGGTTGATGGGGTTCTGGGAGTTCTTCTACTCCCCAAGCCCGGCCCGAGGCCAGGCTTGACTTGTGAGAGTTTGGTCCACTAGGCTGTTGCTTAGAGCGTCCCGCAGGCCCACATACCCACCACAGCCCGGTTGATCCGCACTCCTTGGAGGAATAAATTTAGTTTCCTCTTGAAAATGTCCACGGTTGTTCCGGCAATATTTCTTATGCTTGCTGGGAGGACGTTGAACAACCGCGGACCTCTGATGTTTATACAGTGTTCTCTGATTGTGCCTATGGCACCTCTGCTCTTCACTGGTTCTATTCTACATTTTCTTCCATATCGTTCACTCCAGTACGTTGTTATTTTACTGTGTAGATTTGGTACTTGGCCCTCCAGTATCTTCCAGGTGTATATTATTTGATATCTCTCTCGTCTTCTTTCTAGTGAGTACATTTGGAGGGCTTTGAGACGATCCCAATAATTTAGGTGCTTTAATCGTCTATGCGTGCCGTATATGTTCTCTGTATTGCCTCTATTTCAGCAATCTCTCCTGCTCTGAAGGGGGATGTGAATACTGAGCAGTACTCAAGACGGGACAACACAAGTGACTTGAAGAGTACAACCATTGTGATGGGATCCCTGGATTTGAAAGTTCTCGTAATCCATCCTATCATTTTTCTGGCTGTCGCAATATTTGCTTGGTTGTGCTCCTTAAACGTTAGGTCGTCAGACATTATTATTCCCAAATCCTTTACATGCTGTTTTCCTACTATGGGTACATTTGATTGTGTTTTGTACTCTGTATTATGTTTAAGGTCCTCATTTTTACCATACCTGTGTACCTGGAATTTATCACTGTTAAACATCATGTTATTTTCTGATGCCCAGTCGAAAACTTTATTAATATCATCTTGAAGTTTTTCAATGTCCTCAGCCGAGGTAATTTTCATACTGATTTTTGTGTCATCTGCAAAGGATGATACGAAGCTGTGACTTGTATTTTTGTCTATATCTGATATGAGAATAAGGAAAAGCAGCGGTGCAAGGATTGTACCCTGAGGTACAGAGCTTTTCACTGCGCTTGGACTAGATTTTATATGGTTGACCGTTACTCGCTGAGTCCTGTTTGACAGAAAACTGAGTATCCAGCGTCCTACTTTACCGGTTATTCCCATTGACTTCATTTTGTGTGCTATCACGCCATGGTCACATTTATCGAAAGCCTTTGCGAAGTCCGTGTATATCACATCAGCATTCTGTTTTTCTTCTAATGCCTCAGTGACTTTGTCGTAGTGCTCAAGTAGCTGTGAGAGGCACGATCTTCCCGCTCGAAATCCATATTGGCCTGGGTTGTGAAGGTCATTGGTCTCCATGAAATTGGTGACCTGCCTCCTAATCACTCTCTCAAATACTTTTATGATGTGCGATATTATTGCAACTGGTCTATAATTTTTTGCCAATGCTTTGCTCCCTCCCTTGTGTAGAGGGGCTATGTCTGCTACTTTAAGTGCATCTGGTATCTCCCCCGTGTCCAAGCTCTTCCTCCACACTATACTGAGTGCCTGTGCTACCGGCACTTTGCATTTCTTTATAAATATTGAATTCCATGAGTCTGGACCTAGGGCCGAGTGCATGGGCATGTTTTCAATTTCTTTTTCAAAATTTAGTGTGCTCGTGTTTATATCAGTTATATTTACAGGGGTTTGAATATCCCGCATAAAGAAATTGTCTGGATCTTCCACCTTCATGTTGTTTATTTGGAGTGCTAAACATGTCCTCATACTGCTTTTTTAGGATTTCACTAATTTCTTTGTCATCCTCCGTGTATGAACCTTCACTTGTACGAATAGGTCCAATACTGGCAGTTGTTTTTGCTTTTGATTTCGCATATGAGAAGAAATATTTTGGATTTTTCTTTATTTCCTGAATTGCTTTCTGTTCTAACTGCCTTTCTTCAGTTTCATAT